GACCAGTGGAGCTGTCCGCACTGTCTCATCTTTCTTCTCTGCAGTGCGTTTGTCTTTGTAGATATTGAGCTGCTTTGAGGCCAGTGAGAGCAAAGGATTCTCCTCCTCTTCCTCCTCGTCTTCCTTGTCTTTGTTGTCCTCCTCCTCCTCTCCTTTTCCTTCTCGCAGTACTGGGAATTGAACTCAGGGCCTTTGTACTGAGCTTCATTCCCAACCCTTCTCCATCTTTTGAGGTAGGTTCTTGCTACATTGCCCAGACTGGCCTCCAACTTGTGACCTTCCTGCTTCAGCCTCCCAAAGTGCTGGGATTACAGGCACGCACTACCATGCCTCGCCTACACCTACTTCTTAATCATCTTTAGCTCAACAATCCCTCCTGTTTTTGGGTAACATATTCTGGGGTCTCCTGCTGTTTCTGTTAGTGTCATGTAGCTTGCAGGGTTGTACACCATGTTCCATGAGATTGTCGCCTGTGTGAGGCACTTGCAGATTTGGCCTTTATACAAATCAGTTGGGGTGCGCTGCTGTCCCCTCTTAAACTGTCCACAAACACCTGGCACCGGTGTATCCTCCCCTGGTCTCCAGTCTCCTCCAGCCTTTTGATGGCTATCCACTCAAAACCTAACAAGCATTTGGTTTTATTTTGCATTAAGTACTAAGCTGAGAGCGATTTCCAATGTTAAACTAGAGGTAAAAGCCTCTCAATATATTTTCTCATGGAAAACAGCACGGACCATTTCTGTGAGGTCACGATGAGGCTCAGCACTTGGAAGAGTGGCAGGTGGTGGGCGCTGATTAAATACTTGGTGGATGTACGAGTCCTATAGGGAGGCCTGGGGCGGTACACCTACAAAAGGCGGGTGCAGTCTCCCTGCTCCAGATGGAGAGCTACTTCTAAAGCACAGTTGATGTTCCCAGAGGGCTTCTGGAGACACTGCCATGCCCACCTAGTCAGCTGTCTAACCGAACAGTGAGACCAGGCTCCGCTGGAGGCGAAGACAGGTGCACCAGGGGCCCTATCAACTTTTGTTATCAGGCAGGCCCCTGTTATGTTTGATATTAGATGTCACCCCAAAGCCTCATGCTCTCCTAATGGGCCTTTTGGGTGATGACTGGAGTCTGGGTGTGTGATAGTGGGTTAGTCCACTGATGGGTTTATTGCTGGGTGTGATGTTGGGAGGTGAGGCCTGGTTGGAGGAGGTGGGCACTGTGGGCGTGGCCTGGGAGAGTCTGTCTCCCTCCTCCTCCTTGGATCTCTTTCCTGTCCACCATGCCTTGAGCAGCTTCTCCTCCACCATGCCTCTCTGTCAGGTTGCCCGCCCTGGCGCCAGCTGCCTATGGACTGAAACTGCCTCCACTGTGAGCCACAATAACCCTCTCTTCCTTTAACTTGTGGGTGTCGGGTATTTCGTCGCAGCAATGAGAAAGACGGCTCCCTACCCTGCCCAGCCCCCTCTTTCTCCAGCAAGCGTATCAAAGTCTGAGGCAGTTTCTTAGCCATTTGGCCGGTTGCTGGCCCTCCCTACACCTGTCCCTGAGAGATACCAACGTCTTAACTGTGGGTGGCACAGGAAGGCCCAGGGGTCCCTCCACAACTTCCTCACCACCCCTTTCCTCCCTGCATGGCCAGGCAGTTATACTCATTTCCTATGCCAAGGCCAAAAGAGGAAGTTAAAGCAGGTGTTCGACTCCTGGCTGGGAGAGGAGATAATGTTTCTAGTGGGATTGGGGGAAGAGGGAGGAGTTTAGTGCCTTGTTTAAGTAAAGAACCTTTCTGCTAAGAGAGACCATGCAGGTATCATGGGGGGCTACGGTCGGAATTCCCCTCCAGGGCTCCTTCAGGAAGGCAGGAGTCAAGCAGACGAGTAGCATCAGAGTGTGCCTTGCTCGGTAACCACAGGCATTTCACCCTTAGGCTGTGCTGGACCAGGACTCTGCTTTTCCCATGCTGTGGCCATGGTGGTTAACCGTGAGGACATGAGTGGCATCCACCAAGTCCAGAACACCACCTGTAGCTGTGTGGCCTTAGGTTAGGGCCTTACCATCCCTAAGTCTCAACTGCTTCATGTGTCACATGAGGACCAGGTGAGTGTATTTCATAAGGTTGTTGAGAGAATTAAATGAGATGTGTGCCGGGCATGGTGGTCCATGCCTGTGACCCCCTGGGAGGCTGAGGCAGAAGGATTACAAATCTGAGCTGAGGGGCCGGGGATATAGCTCAGTGGCACAAGTGCCTGCCTGGCAAGCACAAGGTCCTGAGTTCGAGTCCCAGTATGAAAAAAACAAAAACAAAAGCAAAAAAACAAATCTGAGCTGAGCCTGGGCAGCTTAGCAATTTAGCAAGACCCTGTGTCAAAAT